AGCTTCTGTCTCTGGAGTTGACTTTCATTTGCAACCTCTCTGCTGGAGAAACAGAGGCACAGCACACAGTCTTATCAGCCATTCTGAGACCTGGCAAACTTGTATTAGCATTGGCTTCCGTAAGGCTTTGATTTTAGCTCTTTCTGGTCACAGGCTTACAGCAGTGTTGTGAAATACACAGTCTTGGCCAGCTAAGTCAGACTCTTATTAGATAGAAGGAAAAGAGAGAGAGAGAGGAAAGAGAATAAATAAGGTAGGGAAAGAAAAGGAAACAAATGGGAAAGGGGGTTATGGCATAGTCTGAAATCCCAGGTGTGATTGGGATTCAGATGGAGTGGTAGAAATGGTGATGTCATCTGGATCTCTCTCTCGCTCTCTGGCATGGTCTAGTCAGGTTATCTCTCAGGATCAGGATGATGAAGGCCGGGGGTTTCAGGAGATGGTGTGGTGGCAGCCATGCTGGTGAAACTCACTCCACTACCCAATTTTTCTCCCAAAGTCTCTTTCTTAAGGACCCCGAAAGGCAGTGGTGGGTAGAATATCCCATCATCAATGTTTTGTTCACCAGCTGGGACTAGTTTTTGACACACCAATTTTGATTCACTGATTTCTGGTCCCACACTTTTCTTGTGTACCTGGCATGATCTGAATACATTGCTTGAGTTACATCAGGAGACCTTTATGTTTGGATTAATTCAGTCTCTCACTTTTGCGCCTTTTCCTATCAGCGTATCTTGTTGCAGGTTATGGTGACATACTATGACGTTACACTCACTTTTTACAGTTGAGCTCACAGCTACGGTAAATTTGTAGGCCCAGTTATCACGCAGCACAGTAGCTCAAACAAAGCCAAGGTGACTACGACTACCAGCCAGCTACACCTTCCAGATTGGGTATAGATGTACCCTTAGAGAGTATAACAGGCAACAGAGGCAGTTGCTTTGCCTGTGCACTGATGTGCATTTGCATATATTTGCAGTGGAGCAATGGGGGTTCACCAGGGCTGAAAGGGGAGCTACTGCCTACTCACTTGTAGGTATTTTAGTGATCTTTAAATAACTGGAACAACTGGACACATACAGACACATACATGTCTATTCATAGGGTTCACTTGGGAGGGAAGGGAGTGCTATCTAGGGTCAGCAGCAACTGGGAATGAGGATTTCTGGAGTCTCTTCCTAGCTCTGCCACAAACTAGCTGTCTGAACTTGGGTAAAGCACTTAATTCTCTGTGCCTTCGTGTGATGTCTTGCTCAGGTCACCCACAGCTGCAAGCCACTGTGTTACAGCTCTGCCTCAGTGAGACTGAACTTTGGTGCTGCTAAGCTAGGAGTCAGCTTGTCTGTCTTGCTAGCAAACTTCTCAAGACTCTGCCAGTTCAAACTCCGCCTTGAAGATAACAATCTGTGAGCTCCAATCCCTGATTTCCCCGGAGACATCTCTCCGCAATCTCCAGTCCCTCTCACTGGGTACTCACAGAAGCTAGTAAGTTCTCTGCCTCCAAAGAGACAGAGCACATGTCAGCTGCTTAGTTTAGCTGAGGTCTTCACTTTTCAGTTTAATACGCAGCACTGAGATGGTTTTGTAATAAAACAAGAGACAGTTTATTGACAAAGAATAGATATTTAAGTGATAATCACTAAGAGTAGAACATGCAGATATGGTTACAATCAAAACAAAATAAAACACGTTTTCTAGGGACTAAAATTTAACTTCAGCAAATTATGATCTTTGTCTAAGCAGGTTTCTCACGTATAGTCAGTTCCAGATACTCTTGGTTTTCAGGCACAATGATCCATTTCTCATGATCTTGAAGGGTGCTGCTCCCCCTTCATCCCATAGGTGATGGATCACAAAATGGCTTTTTGCTTCTGCCTATATCTTCCCAAAGTTAATTGATCCTGTTTCAAGAGGCAGGAAGGCTTCTGTGCAGCCTCCATCCCCTGTTAAGTCACCCTCTTCCCCCACTTGCTTCCTGTTGGCTTTGTTTACCTTACATGTAAATGTCCTTTTCATTGTCTTTGGTCTCATCTGGCTTAGTTTACATTGGAGACACTGACAAACCCCCACAACAACATTCCTTTGTCTTGAACCGGAGCTGCCTACCAAATACATTTTAGGAACACATTTCCAGCACACACCTATAATTCTTTACACACCACCTGTACATAGTTGATGCAACAATATTAATGAGCAGTGTGTGACCAGTTTGCATATGACACCTTCCACGACACCTTTCAGATACAGATTATGACAGCAGTGAGTTGGGGCTATGTGTGTGTCAGACCTGATGTGAGTTAAGGTAGGGCATGCCCTCTGCCAGTTGACATTGAGGGGCTTCCTGCGTCACACTCACTCTATTCATCCATAACATGGGGATAATAATATCTAATCACATGTTGGTATGTTGCAGGGAATTAAAGCTGGCAAAATGCTTTGGGATCCTTAGATATGAGGCCTCATCTTGCACTATACTGAGCACCCTCAACTCTCATTGGCACCATGGTTACTGAGGACACTTCTCAATGCCCAAGAATGTTCAGCACCTTGCAGGATTAGACCTTGCCGATATGGGTATGACATGTCTATATCTGTACATACACATATTAATTACACCAACAACTACATTAAAAGAACATTGTTAAGAATGCAAAGTCAATCACTCAAAAGCTAAGAAATGCCATAATTAAGGCTGCCCGTGAGAACCTAATTCACCCCCACCACACACACACACACTGCTTGTGTGTCTGCTTGATGATATAGTCTTTCATTAAATAATCACATACTATATTTTCCACAGGACTCCTGCCTCATTCAGGCCACAGGATGAAGAGCAATCACTTAATGAACAGCTATTTGATACGTTGTTTTCTTCTCATGGTTCAATGTGTGGCAATAGACCTTTTATACTGTGCACTGTTCGAACCATTCTGTGAAAACAGAAAACATTTGATCATGGGATTACCTGTGGCGCTCATCATTAGAGTGTCCGAGTGTTTCACAAGCATTAATGAATTTATCTTCACAACACCCCATTGAGGCTGGGGGTGTATGATATTATTCCCATTTTACAGATGGGGAACAGAGAGGAGGGAAAAAATATCCACTAATGTTTGGGACCTAATTTGAGACCTCTAGACCCTTATTTTTTCAGAGTACTTAGTATTATATAGTACTTTATATGTTCAAAACACAGCTTCCATTGACTTCAGTTGCAGCTGTCAGTGCTCAGTACTTCTGCAAATCAGATGCCAGGATTTCAAGTCCGGCACCCAGAAAATGAGGAACACACAATTAGTGATCATCTGTGAGAAGTTTGGTTTATGTGACTTGTGAAGTATCACACGGGAACTTCCTTTACTAAACAACCTTGATTCATCCCCAGAGCAGGTCCAACCTTTACACAGAAAGAGGCAGAAAGAGGGGTCCTGTGGAAAAAAAAAATAGTGTGTGATCATGTAATTAAATAATGCAGACACAGAAGGGAATTGAATTAAGGTTGCATGGACAACTTTAATTCTGGCATCAGTGGTGGATTAGTCACTGGGCCAACGGGGCCTGTGCCCAGAGTCCCTGGACAATAGGGGGGCCCTGGAAAAAATGCATGCCCCCATGCCCTGACCCATTCCATTCACCTGCCCGGCGCTCCTGTTGGGGAGTGCGGGAAGACCCCACACCCTGACCCTGCTCCCCAGCAGGAGTGCTGGGGAGGAGTGGGGTGTGGGGACTGCAGGTGGATGGAATAGGGAGGGCCCCCACTTGCTCTGGTCCAGGGCCCCACAAAACCCTAATCCTCCTTTGTCTGGCATTGCCAAACTTTGGAATTCTTGACTTTGCAACCTTAATGTTCTTTTAACATAGTTTGCCTGTGTAATTTCCTAGTTTTTGAATAATGGAAATTCCATCATGTGACATTATATGGACACCCACTTGGCTTATCAGCATAGAACCTTTAGATCCACTTCACAGACTGCTGCCACCTGAGCTAATGGACTAACTGCTAGCAATAATAGATTGGCATCCTTTATGTGAACAAGCAACAGTGTGGTGAGACACACACTTTGCTAGTGGGTTTTACAGATATTTGCTGACAGAAGATGAATGGTCAGAGTCAGCAATCTTGGGTTCCATTCCAGGCTCTGGAGGGGAGTGTCTCTAGGGGGATATAATCTTCAGCCCATTCCCCCCAAACATGACCCCTTCTGTCCCATCTATTCTAACATGTCTTTTCCCCACTTGTCCCAGTTTCCCCCCTACAAGCTCCTCATCTCATCTCTCTCCTATTCCCACCTCCCCACCTAACTCCCATGCCCAGGGCTCTCTTCCAGGGCTTCTCATCCAATTTCAATCTACTCCCACCTCTTCACCCCAGTCTCCTTGCCCAGACAGCCTCAGATCTTACCCTGCACCCCAGCTCCTTGTCAGATCTCTTCCCTTCCTACCTCATTTCCCACCTCCTCACTGGATCCTAGTCCCATCTCCTTGTCTAGACATTCCAAGATTCCCCCTCACTCAGTTCCTTGTACGATCTCAGTATTCCCTCCTCCCTGCAAACTGGCTCCCAAATGTCTCCCAAGTTTCTTTCACCACTCCCAGTTCCAGTCACCTTGGCCAACTAGTCCCAGCCTCGAGTCCTAGTTGCCTTGCCAAGCAAGTGCCAGTCCATTTCCAAATCTCAAATCTCCTCTCCCTCCAGTCCCAGTCTCACCAGACTC